TTCTTCTATCATCTCTTCTATATATTACTGAATACATGGAGGTGACTGAAGAACTTGCGCTAGATTCACAGTCTCTATATCGACATGCTTAATCAGCAAATGTGTCTAAATAAAAAGTTTAATGTATTGGAACTATGGCAGGGGAGAATTTTGTAGAGCAAGCTTATGAGTACTACAGCTAAAACTTAGTTCAACAAAAGCTGTCAACAAGATGGCTCTATTCACAATGAAGCAGCGAGATCAGTCCTTGCAGTCATTGTTTCCTTGGCACTAGCGATGTAAGCTTCACAGCATTAGCAGAGATAAGAGGGCGCTTCTACGACGTAATCGAAACGAACTCGGTTGTTGGACACGAGCAAGTCTACGACGTGGAACGTACTCTGCACCTGCTGTGTGTCAGAGCGAATAGTGACTAGAACAGTGAAGAAGACGGCAGCAGCCTTGAATTCTCAAGGGAGCCCACTTGGCAGATGAGTTATGCTCAGATGCTGCTGGTGCCACACAATCCTGCTTTGTTTATTTTCTCTTTGCCACATGCGTTTAATTCATACGGCCAACTCTGACTGTGGATTTCAAGGCCCATGTTTAAATATAGGAGTCCAGAAATTATTTGAAGGAACCTCTTGTATCGTGGTTGGGGTTGAGGGCAGGCACAGTGAATGGAAGCACTGTTGAGATCCGTCAGCATACAAGTGTTGAATCGGCCGCAACTAATTTTCTGCCCATTCAACACAATGAGACAAGAAAACTATCTATATCGTCATTCACTGGAGCCACCTTCTGACTTTCATTCTTGTGTAGACATAAAATAAACTTAAACTTGTAGAAAAGGCTGTTTCATCGAGTTTCCTTTTATAAAGACGAACTGCGAAAGTCTCTGCATTTGAATTTTCTCTTCAAACGGAGGGTATCTCAGGGCTCCTGCTTTCATCACAACATATCGGAATGCAGCTGCATAGGCCAATGATTGAACCAACCACCGAGGCTGTCTGCACTCCCATTTCAATACCGTCTGCAAGAACCTTCACTGCACCAGTCTACTGATATAGCAAGCTGGACCTATGGGATGTGTCACTGTCAAGCATCAAGGTGGCAGGTACCCATACAATCTCAATCTCTTCCCAACAAATTGTAAGAGACAGACTAGATTACGTCAGGTACTTTCGGACTCACATGCTGGGTGAAATGCCACATGCATGAGGTCAAACCTACGTAGCTCATTGAGAGATGTCTGGAGTCAAGTTAGGCTGTTCTTTGGGCTCGTAAACTGTGTTAGAAATGTCATTAGTCATGGTAGATGATGGCACACACCCTATGCCGTGATACATAAAAAATTAGTTCAATGTCGTCAAACCAAGACAAATTGTATGTGTTTATGTCTTCATCATACTTATTCAATATTTTATGATCTTGTGATTATGTGGTATATGAGTAACTTATCTGATATATATATTTCGTACATAAAGTCCATCGCACAAATTTAAGGATCTAGAGAGAGTCAAGAAATACGCTCTAAACTTTGTCTTAGTTTTCGAAGAAGAAACATTTTTTTCATCTCTAAAATCATGAATTGTCATCCAAATTATTTTTAAAAATTTAGTAGTGGTTGACTTAACTATCCAATTAGCACATTGCACAACTATCGTGTCTTTTGATACTTCCGTTGGAACACAAATGTTGTTTTGGTACACAATGATTTTCTCGTAAAATCAGCACGTCAAAATAATTAAACAGTTTCTGCAAAATCTTGAAGATACAAGACTTGCATTTGGATCTAACAAAATAGACCCAAAAATCATAAAGATAATTTCATATAAACTTGTTTGATATCTTTTAATATCTTTACAATATATAGAAATGAGTTTCATTTCTTTAAAAAAAAATTAACAATATATGTCAATACATACATTTTAATGTGACTTTGGTGTTGTGTGCCCAAAACATTGGATCATTTTGTTCCCTGTCTCATGAATCTAAATAATAATTTGCTTTGCTAAATGCCTATAAAGTTATCATGCACTACGCAAAGACATCATCTCACTCGAAAACGGTTGAATTGGATTCTTTTCAATCTCATGTGCATACAAGAACTGTGGACATATAAAAATTTATTTTATTTTAAATCATCAAGGTAAGCCAATGCTGAAATGATCTTGACAACTTGCTTATTTCTATCAGTCATGAGCAATGCACATCACTAATCACTAATGCATATGTAAAGATGTTCTTTTATCAGTCAACACAACAAGCAATTGTATTTAATAATTATGATTTATTTGTGTATGGATGTTTACTTTCAAAAATATTCACAATAAATCTTACCTGAAAAAATTATTCCTTATTTCTATTTAAATCCCTCAATCTAAGTCTTATGAATCATATAATATGGACATGAAAATAAAACAGGTCATACTCCAAACAAATATTTTCCTTCCTTCTCCTTTGGTAAGTATAATGTACTCCCAGCTTGATCCAATATATATATCACATCCACCGTTATTAGAGATACTTCCTCAAACCGGGGAACAGAATGCTACATTCTCATTCCCCTAAGTCTCCAAAAACTGACTCTTCATCCTCCATAGCTGGAACTGAGAATGTCAGTAAAGGTGGTGACAGTAAGAAGCTATATGTCCAGTCCTTGCCACCAAAACGGAAACTGGCAAGGAAACTGGCACAGAAGGGAGTTTGTTGAACGTTATAGAGTATAGATCAAGCCTATTTCTGACTGATGTGCCCTGAGTGATCAGCGCTGAGTACCTGGGTATGAGTATAAGTAGAGAACTGCTATTTTCCACTATCTGCAATTCGCACCTATCCCTGAAGTGCAAATCAACTGCGTTCATGATTCCAGATACGGAAGTTTTGGGGAAGTAGTCGAGTAAATCATGACGATGGTTGCAGCGTTGAAATGTGCTCTGCGATAGGGTTCACAACGAGCGTTAGTCCACCCGGGGGGTTTGAAAGCCCCTTGAAGCTAGGTCGCAGGAGTCAAAGATAACGTGCTGGCGCATCGAAAGTCCGAGGCCTGAGTTTGTACGCGTGACCGGAAGTTCACACGTTTGTTCTCCTGCCAAAGTTAAAACCCATAAAATGATCAAGCCTTGCATGTAGTGCTGTCCGGGGTACGTGTAAAGGGTATGGGCAAATCCAGGATTCCAGAACCGGGAACATGTCTCGGTAACTAGTCAGTCCTCCTTACGCAGACATCGGCGATGAAAGTGGTAGGAATGAATGACCACCTTACACAGGAATTCAGAACTCATTTCTAACTCCGATGAGGATCTGTCCCGCCCCACTGTTCTACATGCTCCTTGCCTACAGTCCGTTGCACTTCTTTGGAATTCACCCAAATCTGCAAACCGCTGTAATTACTTCGTTTGACGACTGATCTCATCTCATCTAGCCTCGGGCAAGTATCAGAACAATATAATTATGATGTAAAATATACGATACACACAAAATGTCCACGAGTTGACTAGAGACTTCGTCGGTCGTATTGCGAGCGTTTCCAGTACCACTAATTGGCAGAGATAAAGGCAGAGATGGTTTGGATGCACAAGCTTCGCACTAAGATATAGTTTCCGGGGCTCGCATCTTTTCCCCACGGATGTCCGTTTTCCTCTTTCTTGGTGTTTTCAGGTATCTTCCCATCTTTTCCGTAGTTTTTGTTGGTCTACCGCACTATGCTCAAATCTTCTTTTCCAGCCGAGACGCGACTTTGAGTCCGTGCCGGTGCGTACGTTGTGGATGGCGCCATTATTCGGACGCCAGACGTCCTTCGCCCATCGCGCATCAACGGCGAGTAGGACAATCTGGACTGGGGCCGAGTCATGCTGCTCTAGGAGCATACATCCTCGAGGGTAACCGATACTTTACGTGGAAAGGTTTTATCTGCAGAGGGCATCAAATCGCGCGACACAGGCTGGCGGGTCAGGTTCTGCGTCGTATGTGCTCGATGATTTCTGTGGGGTCGATCTGGTACACGGGCTAGAACCTCCACTCGCCATCATGCCCTGCACGATTGCGCCTTCCAACATGGCGATCTAAAGTCTCTCCCGACGGAGGCCCACGTCGAGGTGAGGATGACGTGGTAATTGGCATGTCGACATCCGTGAGCAGCAGAGGCCGACATTTTACTTCAGATCTGCACCCAGACCAGACCATAACCATCGGCAGCGACCTATGCCCACCCATGAATACCCGTGCCCACCCATGGCGTTCCCTGTGTCCTTCCATGCCCACCCATGCTATTCAAATTACGCCAATTGTGTTGTGTATTACCCGGTTACACCAATTTTTGGTTTGACCTGACAAACCCTGCCCAATGCGTTACTTGTGCCCACCCATGGAGATATAATGTCACCCACAACCCATGAAACCCATTGGCATGGGTGGGTTTGGGCATGGGCACCCAATTCTGCTCACTGAGCAGTGATCCGTTATGACGACCCCGGTAGAATGACCGCTTTCCCTCCCGTCGTTACTGTGGGCAGCTCAGGGCTGTGACTACTTCACTCACAAACTTTGCAAATCTATGGCTTGTTGAGTACTCTTTCGTGAGATAAGAAGAAAGACTTTCCATTCAGGTCAGACAGAGCAGTGAGTCAGTACGAGGCGTGTTTCTCTGAGGGCAACGCGCACTCACATACAAACTCCATACAATTCCAACTTCTGGAAGCCAAGACTTTGATTATCAGTCGGTTTTGATGTCAAGTTTCAGCAGTGCATGGATACTGGACGTGTAGTGTACACAATCATACAACATGGATGCTACAACTTCCCTTACTTGCTTCTACGCAGTGGATTTCATCTCCAATTCCCTCCGTCTGGTCGGGACTGAAGTCGGCAATCGGCCTACGTGCCCATAGATATATAGGCGGTTGCGACATTTCAGCAGACAACAAGAACCTTGCTACATCTACGGCAATGGTAGATAGAGGCTGATGGGCGTACATATCACATTTAAAATGTACCTAACAAAAGATATACTCGACTCTCGTGCAGTGATGAGGGCATCAAGTAATATAGCCGAGAAACCAAACGCAGATGTCAATGTCAAGCTCTCTGTAGTTCAGTTCTGTAGGTTGTTCACTATTGTCGATCGTTAAAATAACTCAAGCCCAGGGTCCTCCCAAATGTGGTGATCCCACCACCACTAAGAAATATTTCCCATTCCACCTTGATAGAGCAGCACTCAAGCACTTTTCCTGGCGGGCAACACCCTGCGTTCTGAAAGACAGCTATTCTTTATTAAGAAAATGAATCATCACTAGTCCTCCGTCTACTTGAACGCTAATCCGTAAATTAGCTTCACCTTCCTCCTCACTGATTGCACTTGAACCTGCATAGTATCCTTGCTTGCTGAAAACCCCAGCGTTTTCATGGCTTCAAAAACCCTTCGGACATGGATAGTCTCGTGGTTGTAGCAAGAATTGTACCGGTCTGCAAGTTCGATACCTGTCGTAAAAAGCTCTTTCCCTATACGACAATCTTGGTGGACAATGGTGCGCATTCTATCTACCAGTACACAATCTGAAACTTTTTTGCAGCTCTTAGTTGGAGCTTTGGCCACCTTCTCGGGATTTGAGACGGGAGGCGGCAAGGACTCTGCTATCTGTGTGAAAGACACAAGCTCTGTCTTTGGAGGAAAAGCCGGAGGTTCTGAGGTTGGTGTAAAATCTGAAGGTAGTGAATCTGTTGTATATGTGTAAGACTCTGAATTTGATGTAAAAGCCGAGGGCTCTGGACTTTGATTGAAATCCAGAGGAACAGAATTTGAGGGAAAACTCAAAGGCTCTGAAAGTGGCGTGTAGGCCAAAGAGTTTGGACTTGGACTGAACGCCTGAGGCACTGTATTTGGTGTAAAGACCAAAGGTTCTGAGTTAGTCGTGAAAAGAACTGGCTCAGCATTTGATGTAAATAGCACAGGTTCTGCATTCGATTTGTAAAGCAATGATTCCGAATTTGATCTGTAGAGCACAGGTTCTGGTTCTGAATTAGACCTATAAAGTACTGGCTCAGAGGGAGGCGCAATCGGCAAAGGCTCTGAAGGAGATGAAATAAGGAAAGGCCCGGAGGGAGAGAGTTGGTCAAAACTGCATGACTGGAAGCCAGAATTCGAGGACGAGAGTAAAGGTGCAGAAAGAGGAAGTCCCGGCATATTGTTCTCTTTGAGATCCAACTCGAGGATTTCACCCGAGCCTGGAGTGCAGACAATGTGGTTCAAAGAACTCAAAAGCATGACGAGGCCTTCACGGAGGTAGACCTTCCACGGTGTTTTCTCCTTATTTTTTTCGAGGCAATTTCCACAAAGCTCCATACCTTCAGAGCTGCTCCACACACATGAGGGATTGTTAGGGGTTGATGCGCCAGGGCAAAGCGCACACACACACACACATACATGCGCCACCATGTGTCATCCAGAAAAGGTATTCCCACTTACTTGTACTGGATGAGTTTGAAGAAGATAAATTCACAAACTTCGTGACACATTTCGCAGAGACGAATCTCGTCATCCTTGAATTCCAAATAGGCACCCAATTCAATCCACTTCGGCAACTGGGACAAGACAGGTGCGATGCTCCTCAAAATGACCTGGGACGATGGAAGGGCGACATAACATATCAGTTTAGGTTCGAACAAAGAACGGGCCCAACAGCAGATACAAGCTATGCATGAGATACGACAGGTGGTGCCAAAGTCCCTCTGCCCCATCAATTTCTACTCACAGAGTAAGACACCAAACTACAGGCACTGTGAAATGTGACGAGCAGTGTTTAAGTCCTGGTCCTTCAAACGAGTTCCAGAAAGTCAGGGTAAACTATGAATATTTTGCAGCTAGCCCCTGCACCCAGTACTGTAGCTTGAAACAGGAGAATTGATGAATTTTGACAGGCTCGTTCATCAGTAAATAAGCTAAGCCTATTCGGGCAACAGTTGATGAGTGTGCTGGGCTGCACATACCTGCTGCAAATGGAAGAACTCAAGAGATGGAACCTTGAGCTGGAAAAGCGTGGGGGTGATGGTGCGTGCGTACAGGCGTGGGTGCAGGGGTGCGTGCGTGCGGGGATGTGTGTCGATTGTCTGAGGTCAGGGTATACAGGAGTCAGTGATCGCTATTCCAGTCTTATGAACAAAAACACCAGGTTCTCTTCTCTAGTTCTGACCTGTTTACTCAGCATTCAAGATAGACAACATGAAGATCATAAACAACGCGATAGCCCAAATTTGAATCCAAGTATGCTTTATACATCCAGTGACATATCCATCGAACATTGGGCAATGTACCTAGAACATCTCCACCTATGAAAGGCCACTTCATGACAGAAGTGACTCCGTGACCAGTTAGCTTCACGGCAACAATAACAATTTTGAGACATGATGCAGCACAGCCTTGGGAACCTTGAACAGGACTGAGCCTCACTTCAGCAGGTAGCTGAAGTAAATACAGTAGGCAGATTGTGCAACAGCACTGTCGACTGAACTACTGTAGAAGTGTCGATCCTGTGATTCGCTTTCTTCTACCCTACGGGAACTGAATCAAACCTACCTACACGGAGGCGCACAGGATAGAACCTACATGTAACATTCCGAAGAGTGAGGTAAGACTCCAGCTCGACAAAGCTAAGACGCTAGTACACTAATTAGGCAGAGATGACTGGCCCCGTGAGCTTTCTTGATAACTAACATCCAGTGTTGACTCGGTGAACTTGAATAAGCTACTACATTATCCTGGACAGACGCGCCTGTAACCTACAAAACACCGATAAAAGCAAAGAAAGAGAAAGATCATGTACATGTAGATTTCGATCCAACCGATCATTTGGAGGATCAGTTGCCATGCTTGCCAATCCGCGCCTCACCAGAAATTATCATGCCTCATACCTAACCACCACAGGACGAACACCAAGAACTTAGGCCTCAAGACTGGCCACACTCGCGCATCGACAACAGCGGAAGGCTGAGAACGGCAGACGGCATCGCATTCCCGGCAAGAAAGGAAACCCGACGAGCACGCAAAATTGCCGTCCCTAGCTTTCACTCCAGCAAGCAAACCCGAGAAAGAAACAGCCGTACATTCCGTCGGCCAGGCTCTCACGCACGCACTCGCTCGGCCCTCGCCCGGCCCCTCTAGAACTACATCAACCTGGGACCGCTGCCGCCCGAGCACGAGGGCCTACATCGGGCGACGAGGAGCCCAGGAAGAATCACAAAGCAGGACTTGGACGAAACGATCGAACCGAGAGAACACCAGCAACGAAACCAAGAACCTCCGTACCTCTCGTTTCCCTCGGCTCGCGCGGGCACGCACCCCTACGTCGGCACCATGAGCCTGGCGAGAATATCGTAGCGCAGGCGGAGTGATCAGAGCTTCGTACCCAGCGCAACTCAAATCAAATGGGTCAAAAGGTTCTCATCGCCCCTGTAGCAAGAGCCCAGACACAGACCGACCTACACTGAGAGAGAGGCAGCGGGAGGAGAGGAAGAGAGAGAGGAAAATGGTGAGAGAAAGCAGGGCAGCAGGAGGACGAGGAGCAGAGGGAGACGGCCGATTGCACAAAGCAAGGCAGGCACGCAGGAGGCAGGCTCAGGCAGCGAGGCCAGCGAGCAGCAAGAGAGCAGGAAAAGGCCTGCTTGCTCTCGAGCGAGGGATGGGCAGGGGGAGAGGGGAGAGGGCGAGAGGGGGGGGGGGGGGGGGGGGGGGCCGAGGCCGACGACTGCTCTTGCGCTGCCTTGCCTTGCCTTGCGTTGTGCTGTGCGCTCGCCCGGGCGCCCCACTACAGTACAGTACACGGGGGCTCGGCGACCGTGGTCGGGGGAGCCCCGACCGACGACGGAGCGCGACAGAATGATTGACCGCCCGGCGCTCGACGCCCGCGCTAATTCTCGCTCCTTCTCGCTAATTCTCCGTCCGCCCCACCGAGCGGTCCGACGGCCGCCCTCCGCATATTCTCTGCGCGATTCGCCCCTCCCCGAATCGGCGACCGCCCCGACGCACCTCCGCAGTGCCATCCCCGGCGCCATTCTCGTCTCGACCAGGCCCCGTCAGTCCCCGTCCGTAGGGTTTTCGTACGAAATTCCGAACAAATTTCAATGATTGACGCCCCGATCCGACGGCCCAGATCGCCTCGCACCCGCAAATGTGCCCAAGCCTTCATCGCCACGCTAATTCCGGCCAAATCGCCCTCGCACATTCGGCCGTCTTTCCGTAACCTCTCCGTCCGCTCCCCCTAGTGAAAGGACTGTCACGCAGTTTGAATTGCCGACTTCCAAACGATCGGACGTACGGTAGTTAGGTTAAAGGATACTGTACTGCCCCGCCAGCGTCGTCGTCGTCGTCGTCTTCGCTCGCTCTCTCTTGTAGAGAGAGGTTCTTGCAATTGGCATCCGATCGTTATTCCGACGTACGTCGGTTTCAAACGCAGAGACGTGATATATTAGACGAGCTCTACGAACCCTACCCGCCAAAATATGGATCATGTTCATTACTAATCTCGTCCCCGGGTTCAAATCTCGCACACACACGCGCTCTCGCGCATAAATATAACGCACCGGGATACCCAGGCAAGAACGACCGGCCCGGCCCGGCCCGGCCCGATCAACTATCGCTGCGCTCGCGCTCCTCTTATCCAACGGATAGGCTATTTCTAGCCGGCCTCCGGTTTCGCTCTCCTCCACATCCGTGCTCCAAATGGCGCACGCCACGACGGCTCTGGGCCGATTTGCGAGCGATTTTCCGCGCACGGGCTCGAGAATTGTTTTGTATCGAGGGCATGATTCTTTGTTTCACACCGCTCCTGAATGACCGTGACTGCACCATCTTTTGTTTCGAACTTTGAGCGCAGTTCGCTTCGCCTCCTCTGAATGATGATTGCTCCGTATGTTAAAAGAAGGTCGGTTCTTGAAAAGGCTCGCTCGGGTCCCATGTTTATTGCTGGAGCCGGAAGATTCGCCAATTTCATCGGTCTCGGTCCATTTTCTAACCGTATGACACTCGACGATATCATTCCGGGAAATTAGCCCCATCTTGGAAAGTTGGACTCCCTTCGTACTTTGCGATTACCACCTTTATCCTTCAGCTCGAACAACTATGGTGGTTGAAGTTCTGGCTTTCCATGAGGCCCTCCCGTCCTTTTTCTGGCGCTATTCATCAACCCTTGCGATATGCTCTCCAACATATTTTGCTCTTAGAAGTTAATGATTCTTTGTGGGCCTCCACGCTGAACTTTAGACCACGGGGGTTCGACTGATGGCTTTAGCTTTGGGCCAACAAACTTATGCATGTGGACACTCGCAACTCCTACCATCCTCGACGAAGAGATTTGAAGACGGCGGAACTACTGACGGTAAATAATTCAGCAGGTTATCGCAGTCTTTACCGCAGTCTTTCTTTGTCAGTTGTGATCCTCGTGCTTTCTTTCCTTTGAAACATTGTTCAATTAAAACTCTCCATCTTGAAATCTGAAAACAAACAATGCAGTACACAAGGAGGAAAATCTGGAACATATTGCATCTTTGTCTTTTAAATCTCACAAATCTAATTACAAGTAGGAATCCACATCAGGTGAGAAAACTATTTGATGGTACCCAGTAGAACTCACAAGTCTTGCAAGGACCCAAAACGTTTCATTTTAACCAATGGAACCTCCGACGGCACTTCATCCCACATTTTCCCATAGTACTTCTTGTAAAGTGTGTGTGATCTTTGTTGCAATACTTGAACACCTTGGCAGAAAGTCATATGAGAACCTTGTTTGAGATTTATCGTGTCTACGCGGCTAGACAGCAGCTTTTGATGCCGGTGAGAGCAAATGGAAATCTGTATATTGGCTGAATTTTCATGTCTGCCAATCTTCACCATGCAAGAGCCCAGTTTCTCACAGCCAAAAATGATATAACAATTATAAAATACGAGCCTTATTTACTTACACTTCTCTACATTTTTATCTAGAATCCTTGTCACAAATCACGTACCTTGCGAATTTTGGTAAGTGAAGTCCCTTCTGTGAGTGCCTCGTTAACAACCAGGGACTAATTGAACTTGGAGGAGAAGTACATTGTGTTCAACAAAGAACTGCAGTGGGTTTTCTAACCAAGAAACAGTGCAGTTATTAGAATACGAGAACTCGCAAGAGAACATATGCAACGTGGGATGAAGTGCCATCGAATTGGTTCCGTCGGGTAAAATGAAACATTTTGGGTCACAGCAAGACTTGAACGTTCTACTGGGATCCCAAAAGTATTTTTTTTATTTGCTGTAATATCCTACTTTAAATTATATTTGTGAGATTAAATAAACAAAGATGCAATATGTATACATAATTCTCCAAACAAATGTATACAGTGAAATGAATACTTATGCTTTCGTCTATTTTATTTCATCCATTTGATTTCAATTTTTTCTAAATGATTAAAACTCCTTCTAAAATTAAGTCTATAATAAACCAACTTAGATACATAATTTTCTATCAGAGTCTTCTAAAATTGAAATCTGTATAGTTCAATACAAAATAGCTCTTCAATTTATTAGATGACCAACCTTCAATTAAGAAAAAATCAAACCTCAAAATATTGTGAGAAACAAATGAACATAATGCATAAAAACAGAGTATTCTACATAGCGAACTTACAAATTCATATACTTGTAATTGAAAATATATTTTAAGTACATATCGATGTACATAAATAAGAATATCCTTATTATGTGTAAAGTTACACGTTTTTGATACAATGTGGTACTTTGATGTTGAGACATAAAAGATGTGGAATTATTTATATACAAAAATAATTTAATTCTATACAATTTATACAAATATGGACATCAATCAATCTAAAACAATAGTGTACAAATCTACTACATCAAAATATGTAATTTCTATGTAAAATTTCTATCACTGATGATAGTTAAAGAATAAGAATAATCCAACAATTTGACTGCCCTGTTTACACAATGACACGTTTTCTTTTATGAACACAATTTATTGGAAAATTTGATCTAACAATGTCGTTAATGCGCAAGGAATTATTCCTAGAAGTTATTTCTATATATTCATAAATAAAACATAAAACACACACAAAAATTGTAAGTCCGAATATCTATCAAATATGAGCTGTTGAGAAAAAAAAAATTTAGTAAATGTAAGAAAAGTAAGTAACAAATTCTAAATAAGAAAATTGAAGTTAACAAAGTTTTTTTAAATATTTCATTTCATAATTTTAAACTGGAAAATTAATTTAAATTCCACAAATTGTATGTGCAACATTCGTGTACTACAAAATATTTTCATATTTTCTTCATATAAAATTCAAAAATAGATGCAAATACAAATAAAGTTAAACTAAACATATGCAAATTGAAAAACAAAATTAACCAAATATTCGTACTATAAGGCTTAAAAATTAAGAACACAAATTAAGTGAATCATTTTCTATATATATATGCAAACAAATTTCAAAAATCAGATAACAAAAATATTTTAACTTTTTATATTGAAATTACAGTTCATTATAAACCTTTGGAAATCTTAAAATCATAAATTTATACTTTATTTAGATGTATGAATATCTAGTGTTTTACATCAACAATTCAATATAAAAATTTGAAAATGATCATAAATACTCTTTAATAAATTCTCTATTGAATCTACAAATTTTAAATACAACATGAGAAATTCTAAACATTTAAAGACAAAACTTGGATCCAAATTTCTACCGTATATTGTTTTACAACATGATGAAGTGAAGTTGGAAAAATTCACTAGCTTGAAGATGTAAGCTGCAATTAAAATACTAGTTCAACAATGAAAATGTGCACTGATGAGCAAATAGATATAATGTATGAATCTTACTTTTTTCTTTTTTATCTTTTTTTTTTTATAACATCGAGGATTTGAAAATATTCAGATAGTGGAAAAAAGATTAAAACAAAGGAAATCAAAGAATGGTAAGAAGCTAACATCAATTTTCATTCATGATGAATGCGGAAAAAGGGAAGACTTATATTGCCTATCAATTTTTTGCTTTTGAAATGAAAATTTTAGAAAAAAAAATAAAAATAAATTTAAATATAATCCAATCAAAGATTTAAAAGCAAATATAAAGCAAGTTATAAAGCAAACAGAAGATTTCAAACAAATTGTTGGAAACGATTTCAACCCCTTGTAATATTTGAATTACTCATTGTGATTTTTAAGTGAATCTACCTCAACAATTAAAATTAAAAAATCAAGTTGTGCAAAATGCTAGTTTAAGAATATAACTAAGACATCAAAGAATCTGAAAACTATGTCTAGTACACTTCAATTTGTTTTCTTAAATCTACAATTTTGTGTCTTATATTTACAATATTGTATGTACAATTTACAAGTGTGGACAATCATCTTCTTATAATAGATAATTAGGGTGAAAAGCTACCATGAACAAACTAATTTTATTAAGTTAAATAAAACATAGATGTATGGATCAATCTTATAAAAAAAAGTTTTTAAAAAGTATAAAACATTTTTATTTACAACATTCATTTAGTGTAAACAACATCACACGTGTATTTATTCCTTCAATGATCACTTTAAGTATATGGGTATGTTTTTTAGCAATATTGAATCTACATGAAAATCTGTATGACAAACATCATTTTGTGCTCGCCACTACTACACTCAACATACTATTTGTCGTACCACAATGCGTGATGAAGGATGTAATTTGCCGCTTCGAGTGTACAAACATTATTAACATTGTGTTCTATTGTCGACTCATCA